ATTCCCACAATCTGCAGCTTTAGGGATGTGGGTCCTGCAGGGAGGCTGGAAATCAGCCTCAGAGGGACAATCCTGCCCTGGTCCTGCTGGCCACACTGCTTTTGGTACCTTAATTAATAATAATTTTAACCTTTTTGGCCACTTGGGTCCACTGCTGCCTTCACCTGTAGCTTAAAAAAATCTGAGATAGAAAATCATGGAGCATCCTGGCCTAGAAGGCACCCTGAAAAGATGAGGAATTCAACTTTCTCTCTGTTTATGTGTTGGTTTTTGCCTCCAGCAAAGGAACAAAACCACCTGGAGATCATCCAGAGGTGTCAGAAATTGGCTGGTGGAGCAAAATTTTTTTTTGCATTTGGAAATTTTCCTAAATAAAAAAGGAGAAAATGAACACTCCTGCACGTTCATAAATAATATTTATAAATGTTATTTCCATGCAAAGAAGGAGGAGAGGCTGCAGAGCCCAGAGAGGTTAGAAATGAGGGGAAAACGCCCAAATCCCACAGTTCTGTCACATCTGGCTGGCAAAATTTCACCTTTTGCAGGGTCACAGGTTGTACCTCCAAACCTTTCAGGATAACTTCACTTCTCTCCCAAATATCCCCTTAAATCCCAAGATTTGCTGTTTTGTTACAGGAACAGAGCCAGCGAGCAAAAATAAAATGAAATTACTTTAATATGACAGTAAGTGTTGCAAATTGCTGAATAACAATTTCAGTTTAGGTTTGACACACAGAGGGGTTGTTGTGGTTTCATTGTTGTTTTTTTTTTTTTTTTTCCCTGAAGCTGTTGTTTCTGCCCAAATCTGAAAGTAAAATCTCATGGATCACTTAACACCTGAGGTTATAGCATGTTCCTGTCTGGGGGATGTTTGGTGACTCAAGTTTTACCTTGGTCCTCTATCCACAACCAGAAATTCCTGCTTAATAAAAAAAAAAAAAAGAAGAAAGAAGGGAAAAGGAAAAAAAAAATCCCATCCTTTTGCTGTAGAATTGTGTTGCTTATTATCTAGATTGTCCTCATGAAAGATACATTAACTTTTTCTTCCAGCATTCTGTTAAAATTGGAAGAACTTGTGTTTCTGTGATATTCTGGGTTTTTTTTTTTTTTTTCCCCTCAGCTTGTGTTAGTTGGTGAAATGAAAGAAAATCCCTTTCCCTGCAAACCTGCCTTGGGTTTGAAATCCTGGGGTGGTGAATCCAGGACAATAAAACCATTTCCCTGTGCCCACGGGAGATGCTCTGAGGGCTGGAGCCGTGGCCAAAACCTCTCGAATTTTGGGAGCAGGAACCTGCTCCAACGCAAAGGGATGTCCTTGTCACCATACCTGGGTGACCAGGACATTCCCATGGCCAAAACCTCTCCAATTTTGGGAGCAAGAACCTGCTCCAAGTCAAAGCTGCCATGCCAGGGTGACCAGGACATTCCCATGGCCAAAACCTCTCCAATTTTGGGAGCAGGAACCTGCTCCAACGCAAAGGGATGTCCTTGTCACCATGCCAGGGTGACCAGGACATTCCCATGGCCAAAACCTCTCCAATTTTGGGAGCAGGAACCTGCTCCAAGTCAAAGGGATGTCCTTGTCACCATGACAGGGTGACCAGGACATTCCCAATCTCCAGTTTTGTGTGAGAGAGGAAAAGGCTCTAGGGGGATTTCAGAGCCCTAAAGGGATTTGGGACAAGGGATGGAGGACCAGGACACAGGGAATGGCTTCCAGTGCCACTGGATGGGATTTTGGGAAGGAATTGTTCCCTGGGAGGGTGGGCAGGGGCTGGGATGGATTTCCCTGGGGATGCCCCATTTCTGGAAGTGTCTGAGGCGAGTTTGGAGCAAATTGGGGCAGCGGAAGGGGGCTGGGTCTGGATGATCCTTCAGATCCCTTCCCACCCAACCCATTCCATGTTTCCCTGACTCAGGACACTCCATTATCTGCCCAGGCCTCAGTTCAACCTCAGGGTGTTTACTCTGACCTCCTGGCTGCTTTCCATCTTGGTAATTCCCTCCAACTTTCTGAATTTCCACCATGAGAGGTTTTTTTTCCCCCTTTTCCTGCCCTTTGGCTCCTTCAAAGCTTCACCCTGCATGCCTTTAACCAGCTTATGTTCCATGCTGAGGATGCTTCATCCCCACTCCAAGAACAAAACTGCTCCTTCCCTTCCCTCCTTCTTCCCTTTGTAGGTGCATCCCTGGCCAGGAACATTTCTGAGGAGCCCAAGGGTCCATTTTGAGGCTAATGAGATGCAGGAGAGAAATGCAGAGTTTGCACCTCCCTCCCTTTGTCCTGCTGGCAGATAAACCCCAGCGCTGGTTCTGGCAGAAAAGTTCCAGATTAATGAAAGCTGCCTTGAGGAGCTCTTCTTATTTCCACTTTAGGTTTTCCTTTCCCTCGCCGAGGCAGCTCTCCCAAGCCTCTCCCAACTTTGCTCTGACCTAGAAAGAAAAAAAAGGCTTTTTAAATTTTTTTTTTTCCTCTCCAACAGCTGCACTTTATTACATCTTCACTGGTGGTCTTTTATAGTTTATTAGCCAAAGAAACAGATAAGTATAATCCAGACAATTATCATTAGTGGTAATATATTGTAATTAGAGGCACATGGGCAGTAAAATCTCCATTCAGTTGTCCAGGGATTGGAGTTTCCAGGCAGATATTGGGGAATTTGTTAAACCATGCTGAAATAAAGCAGTAGTAGGTTTAGTTGAGGGGGGGTGGAGGCTTGCATTGTTTCAGTCCTTCTGCTTCTGGGCTCGTAGGGTTATTCACAATTTGGCTTCTTGAGCCCCAAGAAGCCTTTGGCTGGGAATTACTCAATTATTTTCAGGGAAAGAGCAAAGCTCCAGTGAGAATATTGCATTTTTCAGGGGATGGGCTGGGTGAGGAGCTGGGCAGGAGGGATGGGCTCCTCTTTGAGGGCTGCCTGTGGAATCTCACACCAGAGCAGCAGATCTGGGCCAAAAGGGGACAAAACCAGCTGGTCTGGACTTCACTCTCCCAGTTCTTCCCAGGGTCAGGGACTGGAGATGGAGTCTTAATGTTCCATATTGTGTCTGTATTTAAGGAAGGAAGCAGCTTAAACGAGCCAGGTGGTTTGGAAATCCACGGGATTTAGGACCTTTCACGTTGGGAGGGGATTTCCAGGGCCACAGGTCTGCATTTAACTGGCTCTGTCTGACTCTCGGTGCAAGGGGGTGACCTGGTCACCTTGAACTGGTGCCATTCCCTTGGAGCATTGTCCTGATCCCAAATCCAGAGAGGTTTTGGCC